GGGTCGGCTTCAGATAGTTATATTATAATTGGGTGCCCAATTCCGAGCCGTTGTATCACCTGAATCCAACGGCTAGGATTAGATTACCATAAAACGGGGTCGTTTTAGGAGAATGGGAATTGGACCGGGTGAACTGGTGATTTGGGCCTGGGTTATGGGTAATTTAGACGGGTTTGGGCGATTTTGGGGCTGGTTTGGTTATTATCCCAATTCCGAAAAATACCTTCTTTTATTCCTTTTCTTTTCTTTTTCTTTCTTTTTTTAAATTAAAAATCCTAATAATTAAAAATCCTAAATTATCTCAAATGTGGAATTAAATCAATTAACTAATTATAAAAATTTCAAACATCACTTAATTCTAAATAAAAGAGAAAAATCAATAAACTAAAAATTAAAAGACAAAAAATGTAAAAATGAGTTATTTTTTGTGATTTTCAAATTTCCATAAAACAAATAATTAACGATTAATTCTAAAAATGTAAAAACAAATCCTAAATGCAATACACGATATTTTTGGTATTTTTTTATGGTTTAAATAAAAATAAAAATTAAACATGCACAAAAATGCAGATAATTAAGAAACATTCTACAAAAATTCCTAAAATGACAAATAATTAACAGAAAACCTATTTTCTTGGGATTTTATAGGAGTATTTCATATAGGGCAAAAATCACATGCTCACAATCGCAACCGGAATGATGTGTGCCGACTTGGTCAACCTGTCGACAATGACCCAAACTGCATCAAACTTCCTCAAGGTCCGCAGCAATCCGACTACAAAGTCCATAGTGATGCGCTCCATTTCCACTCAGGTATAGTCATCTGTTGAAGTAGGCCACTAGGCCTCTGGTGCTTATTCTTGACCTGCTGGAAATTTAGGCATTTGGCTACATACTCCACTATGTCTTTCTTCATTTGCCGGCAACAATAATGCTGTCTCAGGTCACGATACATCTTCGTAGCACCTAGATGAATAAAATACCGTGAGCTGTGTGCCTCCTCTAGAATCCTGTCCCTCAAGCCGTCGACATTAGGAACATATAGGCGACCCTAGAGTCGCAGAACACCATCCTCACCAATAGAAACCTCCTTGGCACCACCCTGCAGTACCGTCTCTATGAGAACTGCCAAATGCGGATCATCAAACTGCCGAGCCTTGATGTGCCCCAATAGTGACGACTGGGAAACAACACATGCAAAAACTCGGTTGGGCTCAGAAATATCCAATCTCACAAGTATGTTAGCCAAGGACTGAATGTACAAAGCTAGTGGCCTCTCCTCTACTGAGAATGCCAAGCTATACATACTCTCTGACTTCCTGCTTAAGGCATCCGCGACCACATTTTCCTTGCCCAGATGATAAAGAATGGTGATATCATAATCCTTCAGTAACTCAAGCCATCTACGCTGCCTCAAATTGAGATCCCTATGCTTGAACAAATATTGTATGCTGCGATGATTAGTATAAACCTCACACAACACCCCATACAGATAATGCCTCCATATCTTAAGAGCATGAACAATCGCGACTAAATCTAGATCATGCACAGGGTAATTCTTCTAATGAATCTTCAACTGACGTGAAGCATATGCAATAACTCGCCCCTTATGCATAAATACACAATCCAAACCAATGCATGAAGCGTCGCAATACACAGTATACATCCCCGAACCGGAAGGCAATACTAGAACCGGGGCTATAGTCAAAGTTGTTTTGAGCTTCTAAAAGCTCACCTCATAATCATCGGACCAATGAAAAGGAGCAACCTTCAAGGTCAATCTAGTCAAAGGTTGTGCAATGGATGAAAAACCCTACACAAACGGCGATAATAACCTGCTAACCCCAGGATACTCCTGGTCTCAGTCACCGAAGTGGGACGTGGCCAACTCTGAACTCCCTCAATCTTCTTGGGATCCACCTTAGTACCCTCTCCTGATACAACATACCCCATGAATGCTATAGAGTCTAGCCAAAACATACACTTGGAAAACTTAGCATATAGCTTCTGTTCTCGCAATGCCTGAAGCACCACTCTCAAATGCTGCTCGTGCTCCCCCAGGCTACGTGAGTAAATCAAGATGTCATCAATGAAGACGATAACAAAATAATTAATATAAGGCCTGAACACCCGGTTCATCAAATCCATAAACATCGTTGGGGCATTAATCAAGTCGAAGGATATCACCAGAAACTCATAATGCCATATCTAGTACAGAAAGCAGTCTTCGGGACATCTGAGTACCGAATCTTCAGCTGATGATACCCTGATCTCAAGTCGATCTTAGAGAACACCCAAGCACCCTGCAATTGGTCAAACAAATCATCAATGAGCGGCAACGGGTAGTTGTTCTTGATGGTGACCTTGTTCAACTGGCGGTAATCAATGCACATCCATATAGTCCCATCCTTCTTCTTCACAAATAACACTGGTGCACCCCAAGGTAATACACTTGGTCTCACAAACCCCTTTGCTAACAATTCCTCAAGCTGCTACTTTAACTCTTTTGGAGACATACGGTACGGTGGAATAGATAAAGGATGAGTGCTTGGAGCCAAATCAATACAAAAATCAATATCATGATCTGGTGGCATGCCCGGAAGGTCAGAAGGGAACACATCGTTAAACTCCCGGACTACTGGCACTGAATCAATTGTCGGAGACTCTGCGGTGGTGTCCCGAACATAATCTACATAAGCCAAACAACCCTTCTCGACCATATGTCGAGCCTTCAGAAAAGAGATAACCTGACTAGATGTACTAACAGAGGAACCCTTCTACTCCAACCTCGGCAACTCTGGCATCGCTAAAGTAACAGTCTTGGCATGGAAATCTAGGATGCCGTGATATGGGGATAACCAATCCATGCCTAGGATGACCTCAAAGTCAATCATATCAAGTAAGAGAAGGTCTGCTCTAGTCTCGTAACCACAAAACGTAACCACATAGGACTGGTAGATCTGATCCACAACCACAGAATCGCCCGCAGGAGTGGACACATAAATAGCAGTACCCAAGGACTCACAAGGAATGTCTAGGAAATGAGCAAATAGAGATGACACATATGAGTAGGTGGTACCTAGATCAAATAATACTGAAGCATCCCTACTGTAGATAGAAATAATACCTATGATCACGACATCTAAGGCCACTGCATTTGGTCTGGTCAGAAAAGCGTAGAATCTAGCTGAAGTGCCGACTGGCTGGCCTCCACCTGACTGAGTAATAGCTAGATGAACTCCCCCTGTCTGGCCTCCACCTCTAGGATGGCCCCTACCAACCTGCCCTCTTCCTCTGGGTGGCCGGACATCTAGTACTGAAATCATGGGTTGCTGGCCCTGTTGCACTGCCTTGCCCCAAAGTCTAGGGTAGGTCCTCTTTATATGACCCGGATATCCACACTTGTAAAAACCTCTTGGTACCATCTGATGGCCTAAATACCCACTAGAAGAACCCTGAATGGCTGGCGGGCGGTATGAACTCTCTAGCATAGCACTAAAATAGGCATTAAAGAACCCTGATGAGCTGGTGGACGACAAGAACTCTCTGGAATGATGCTGAAATAGGGGCGCACTGGAGCACCTCGAGGAGGTGGTGGTGCTGAATATGGGGGCCTACTAGGCTGACCCATCCCAAACTGACCTCTTCCCCTAGACGGGGCACCTCTAAACTCTCCAGA